ACGGGATGCAGACCCACACACTCAATATCGGACCGCTACTAATATTTCACGCCAGGTGATGCAGATCCACATCAATCAGACCCCGAGACACAGTCAGCCTCAGCCATGTCTCTGACTCTGAGATTCTTTCACTCTTTTGCTTTTCTCTTCATCTTCTTCCTCTCTACCATACCTGCACTCTTAGTCCTTGAAAATGAAGACTCAACAATCAAAACCATGCAGGATTTCTCTGGATACCCAGTTGATGAACCAACTCATTCTTTTACCTTAACTTCTCTATCTGCCCCATTTTCAGTTGATTCTCAAACTCTGCAGAAACAGGTACTTAGGGATTTCTTTTATCTATCTATTACTGTTTCATCTAAATAAAGATGGGCGCTTTTTCTTTATAAATTACAAGGGGTCCGTTTTATGTAGACTGTGGGTTAATGTTGTGAGTTTGGATTAATTTAGATTGATGAGCTCTCAACTTTCTCGGATGCACCTGCCCCAGCAGTCACAAGGGTACTCTATACTGACAAGGATGTACTGGCACGCAGGTACTAGACTATTACTACAAATTTCATTGCTAAGGCCAAAAAGAAAACTGTTTTCAGCTCCTGATTCTCAGGTTTAGTGATTTGGAATTAGACTTGATGATTGGTGAAGAGACAAGTCTAGTGAAGCTCCTGTAATTTTTAATTTTATCTTAGGTTTTTATCCAAAGTTCGTGTCTTTTATAATTTCATCCCCTTATTCTAATTGCAGGTATATCAAGAACCTGATGGGACTTGCTGGTCTTTCTGTTAGAGAGGATGCTGTTGGCAACATATTTGGTCGATGGTGGGTTTCTGTCTTTAAGATTTTGATATCTTTTACTTTGTCATGCTGAATTTGAATATCTGGAAGTAGTTAGCCTCAACTTTCGTTTTTCCACATCTGTCTTCAATGTTAGATATTATATTGTGAAATGCTTTGGTCTTTGTTGTTCCTATATGTATTCTCCTTTGTCTTATTGATTCACTACTCTGCATACTTGGCCACAATTGCTTGAAGGTCAAATATAGTTTTATCTTGGTTAGGCTTGTTAAATAGTGGTGAAGATTTAAACCACCACAATTTTGTCAATTAATCGTTGGAGAGTGGAAAAAGTTTTTTGTTTAACAATGTGAAAGTGGTTTGTCACAATTTTGTCCCCTCTCCCTTCCACTGATCAAATATCTGCAAATTTGTCTAGGCTCCCAAGTCCCAATTGGCTTGGTATCTTCAAGCTCACTTTAACATTTTGACCTCCATTTTCTACAATCATATATTTCTTTAATTTCATTGTGGTTTCTAGATATTTTTGTCTCTTTTAATGTAGGGATGGCTATGAACCAGACCTCCCTGCAGTGGCAACAGGTTCTCATATTGATGCTATTCCATATTCTGGGAAGTATGATGGAGTAGTTGGTGTTTTAGGTGCAATAGAAGCCATTAATGTACTCAAGAGGTTTGGCATTTCTGTTCAATGTGAATGCTCTTAAGATATTTGATTTCTGGATGAGATTTTTGGTCCATTCTTTGAGAACTGGGATTTACTCAGGTGGGCCTTCAAACCTAAACGGTCACTTGAGATAATCTTGTTCACTTCAGAAGAGCCTACACGCTTTGGGATCAGCTGTTTGGGAAGGTTAGGACCATACCATGTCATGCATGCACACATGTTTTTTTCAACTTGTTTTACGATTTTGTTTTCCACTTCAGGATTTTTATGTGCAATTTTTCTTGTTTGAGATTTATGATGTGTTCCTCTATGTATGTAGCCGCTTGCTGGCAGGGGATGAGACGCTTGCTAAAGCTTTGAAGGCAACAGTTGATGGTCAAAACATATCCTTCTTTGATGCTGCAAGATCTGCTGGATATGCAAGATATGAAGATGACTTATCCAGTGTGTTTCTAAAGAAGGGGACTTACTCTGCTTTTATAGAGCTGCATATAGAGCAGGGGCCCATTCTGGAGGTGGAAGGTTGCCTTTCTTTTTAACTCTCTCTCTCTCTCTCTCTCTCTCTCTCTAAGGTCTGCAAAATTTGATTCCCCAGAAATCTATCTTATTCTTCAATTCAGGTGTTGCTATTGGTATAGTGACTGCCATTGCAGCCCCTGCAAGTATAAAAGTCGATTTTGAAGGTAGTGGTGGCCATGCAGGTGCAGTCTTGATGCCAAATAGGTAATTTCTACCTATATGTAATTATTATTGTTTGTGTTGCTCTAGGATTAAATAGCATCAAGATAAAAACAATGCACCTTTTCTTGTTTTAAAGTTCAAAGATTTTCATGTATCTTTCATCTGTATGATTTCCTGAATAAGATGCAGATTGTGAATTCTTTTTATTTTAAGGTTGTTTTACTATTTATTTTCTCTGCTCTCTTTAGTTCAAGATATCTGGTTTCAGAAGCAATCATATGTAACAATCAATCCCTTAACCACCCCCCCCCCCCCATAAAAAAAAAAAAAAAAAAAAAAAAAAAAAACCAAAAAGCTTTCTAGTGTAACTGACTGCAACAAGTACAAGTCTGTGCAATATTTCTATTTTCTGAAGTCAAATTTTGAAGCCTTCTCAATATGATACATGATAATTGTCATCTTTATTTATTATTTTCCAATGCCTTCTGAAATTAGTTTATATGACATTTCATTTTCCTGACATCATTCCTTTGTCATAAGGATAAAGTAACCTATAAATCCATTGTAAAGTGCAGAAATGATGCAGGGCTGGCAGCTGTAGAGTTAGCGCTAGCAGTAGAGAAACATGTGTTGGAATCTGGATCAATTGATACTGTTGGCACAGTTGGTAAGTCATGCTTTCATGTGTGACTGGAAAATTTGTTTTCCACCTTTATCAATATATGGAATTTCATTTCAAATTATCTAAAGCATACTTTAACTTGAGCTACAAGATGTTATATATATTATTTCCCTTTTCACAGGTATTCTGGACCTGCATCCTGGAGCAATCAACAGCATACCTAGCAAAGCACACATGGAAATTGGTATGTTTCCAATTACAGTATTACTGAATAAAATTTCAAGGAGGTCATATTTCTTGGATTGTTTGATTGAGTATCCCACAAACTATAACACTGCTGAGAAATTGAAGTTCCTGTAGCCTAAGATGCTAGCTTGTTTTTGAAATTTGTACTAGATACTCAATGTTTATAATATCTGAGTAATCTGACCCTACAGAATTGATATTTCGCGCTTTATCCGCAATATCTTTTTATCTGCTTATTTGAATATCTTATATTTTTTTAATAATTTTATATCTGGCAGACACACGAGATATTGATGAAAAGAGAAGGAACACTGTGATTCAGAAAATCCATCAATCTGCAAATACAATTGCCAAAAACCGCAGGGTCAGCCTTTCAGAATTCAAGATCGTAAATCAGGATCCACCTGCCCTTTCTGAAAAATCAATTATAGAAGCAATGGAAGCTGCATCAAAGGAGCTAAACCTAACAAACAAGTTGATGATAAGCCGAGCTTACCATGATTCATTGTTTATGGCAAGGTAATTTGAGAAAGAGATTTAAAATTTGAACCCTTATGACCATCAATTATATTTTTCACATTGCTTGAAAACTATGAATAAGAGTCCAATACTGTCCCTAGAATTTCTTACTTCAACAACTAAAATATGAGATAAAGCTGGTCAAAATAAAAATGAGAGAGAGAAAGGACACTGTTCTAGATGTTACAAAACCTTAAAGGTAAAAATGGGAGGAATGTTGCCAACTTTAGTGCCCAAGGATATCAAATCATAGTGAATATTAACCATTGTATAGCTGCTAATGCTATGTTGATCGGGATGCTAGCTTTGCACAATGTGGGTTGACCTGCTAAAGGTCCTTCATTCTCACAATTTCCTCTTCCTTCTAAGCCTTGACATGAATAAGAGATGTTAACTAAAGATGCTTTTCCTGAGTATGCATTTCGACTTTCAAGGTAAGAGGGGCATAAGTGACCGACATGGGGTTCTCAGTGGCAACAAACCTTGATAAAGGATTCATTATCTTATTATTATTACTGTTAAAATAGCCATTAATACATTTTGCATTTCAATCCTTGCAGGATATCTCCAATGGGCATGATGTTCATCCCATGTTACAAAGGTCTGAGTTCCTTCTCTCTACATCTAGCACTCTCTGATTTTCTTACCATTAATCTACTGATGAAACTAATTTAATTATGCCTGCCTTCTTTGTTTTCATTAGTGTCGTAGTTTTAAGTGCATAAAGAAGCAAATTCATTACCACTAAATCTGGAACAGTTTTTTCACCATGTTACGAAAAACTGAAAGACTCAGAGAAAAAGTTACTGATACAAAAAAAAAAAAAAAAAAAAGCTGGTCACAGGAAGTGACTTTTTTTTTTTTCTTCTGCAATGGGCAAATATATCAACTTGCTGGCAAGAATATCATGCAACAAGCTATCAAAACAGGCTGAATGGTCTAACATAAGCCATTTGGTTTTGCAGGATATAGTCATAAGCCTGAAGAATATGCTTCGCAGGACGATATGGAAAATGGGGTCATGGTTTTAGCACTAACCCTTGCAAAGTTGTCTATGTCGTAATATATTCATTCTTCTTGTAAACTAGCCACTCAGATTTTCTTGTAACATTATGATCCTTTCTCATCCCTGGAGCCATCAAGAAATTATATTGATGTTTTAAATAAAGAAACTTGGTTGGGAACGCCACACCTTCCTTCAAGGTAAACTTTATAATGAGTCATGTTAAGCAGCCATTCATTCTTGGTGGCTGTAGTGTTGCCATGAGAATTTGTAAATTATCGTGCGCAGCTAGAGACTAAAAAAATGCATTCATATTACTAGACACAAAAAATGGAAGGCTACATCATCCTGTCAACAACCAGTGAAGGAGAGCAAGGAACAACATGCTTCTAAGCAGTAGAGAGTGAAATGTAGGGAAAGGTTCAGCTAGATCTGCTCCTATTAAACTGTTGCTGCTCCAGAGCATGATCATGCTAACAGCAGTTCTAAAAAGAACTAGTCTATATACTTCGGATAATCACTTACGGTATCTACTAAATTGTCAAGACTGAATGGAAAACAGGCAAACATCACGCTGCAGAAATCAAGTGCAGTAACATCTCTTGGTTAGTCAAGCTGCAGAACTAGGATCCTTATCAGAATCCTTCTTCAGGACTGTAGCAACAGCAACACAGGTCTTGTCAAGTTTCTCAACCTTTTCCAGCACAATTTGAATCTGTCGAGGGAGACAAGCAGGAATAAACAGCATGAACGTGGAGAATAAGAACTTGTTACTACCGAACTGTGAATGAGAATTGACAGTACTGAATTGCAAAAACCCAGCAAAGGATGCAAAGAAAACAAACCTTTGCTTTCTCAATCTGGCGACCCCTTCTATCCTCATCGGAGCTGATAACTGTAGAAATTGTTATCGCTGTTGCATATTTAGAAGATTAAAATCAGTAAAAATTTCCCAATGTTCATCATGCAGAACAAAAAAGAATATTTGAGAGGCTTCTTACCTTTCTCAGTTGCCTGTCCACTTCTTTTCAGAATCTCAGCAATGGTAACAACAGTAGGAATAGCTGGGTGGGTTTAACATTAAGTACAGATGTTAGCAATCTTGACACAACATAGTTTCTAAAGCACAATCATAAACAGCAATTTCTTGAACAAATTTCAGGTTCCCATCAGAAAGTAAAATGATTGATGTTGAGAAAAATCAAAGTAAAATGGAAAGGAAAGAGTAGACATTATATAGAATCCAAAAATTGTACCCATGCCCAGAGCAGAAAGTTCAACGTCACTGTACAGCTTCAGGTACCTCTGCAACAAAACAAAGATTGGATATTTAAGAAACAGAACTCTCTGTTCGAGGATATTTATCACTGAAACCAAATCACAATCTACGAAAATGTTAATACAAAACAGGAAATGCATAATTTCAGTAGGGTTTTCATAGATTATGAAGCAACAACAGGAGAAGTCAGTAAAATGCATCCGCAATAAGAAAGCTTCAGGATTCAAGTACGGTCCAAGATTACTGAAAAACAAAGAGGAGAATCATAAAAAAGGTACAAGAATTTCAACGAATCCTTAACTTCCCATTTTCTTCACCAATTCCCAAATCTAAGAAACTAATCCCCCCCGATTCCCCAAGAAAAGAACCTCAATTGAACCATCAAAGCGAGAGCTAAAAGAAGAGAGCGAAGACAAAATTACAAAGAATCATGAAAACACCAGAAAAATTGAAGAAACCCTAATTAATTCTCCAGTTTAGGTATCCAGAGAAACAATTGACGAAGAAGAAAACCAAAACCCTGACTCAAGAATCCAAAATTAAAGCATCCACTGAGATTTTACCTTGGCAAGATTGAGATAGAAGATGAAGGGCTTCTTGTTATTGGAGACCTGAACCCTATTCTTCTTCTTCCGGGGAGGCAGAACCCAAGTCGGAGAAGTACCAGCGGAAGCCTTGCTGTCAGCAGCGGCGGCGGCAATTACAGCAACATCGAGTGGCTTCTTGCTGGCGGCGGTGCTGCTGTTGTCGGCGTTCTTGGTGGTTCCACCTCCTTCCTTCGCCTTGGAGATCTCAGCTACGACGTCGACGGTTGTTGCCTCCATGGAATCAGCCCTCTGTTTCGCTCGCTTTGTCTGCGGAATTGTGGGGAAAATGGCGCGAAAGTCTGTTGTGCGGTTAGGGAGTTTTAGGTGAATTTGTTATGGGTGTGGGGGTTTTATAGGAAAATAAATAATTCAAAGCCCAATAGGATAACGACGCGTGTCCACTCTTGCGCAATGCTTCGTGAAACTGAAACGGCCCGCGGGCCGTTTTTGATTGGGCTGATCTCGAAATTGGCCCAAACTAGATCATGTTTTATTCTTCTAGTTATTGGATCTGGACTTGGATCTGTCCTTGACCCCGCTAAAAATGTCAGAAAACTATAATTACAATACATTAGGTAAAATTATATGGATTATTGTTTATCTATTTTATCTTAAAAGGTTAGAAAAAAAATTATTCTAAAATTATATTATTTTAATAAAATACTATAAAAAATACTTTAATTCATGTTTTAAAAATAAAATATCTTAATATTTTTCAATAAAAATTTATTAAAACGACATAATTTTGAAATAATTTTTTTCATAATTTTTAGGATATAAAGCAGGATAGGCATTATTTCCAAATTATATATTATAATTATGATATAATATTATTTTTACTAACTTTCCAGTATTTATAAGTTATATTCAATTTCAATTAATTCAGAATCGAGAAAAACTCTTATTTTTCTATTCATAAGACTCAAAATCAATATATTATTTAATGAGAATTAAATTCTTTTCACTTGTATCAATAAATTATTGGTATAATTATGATAAAATATTAAATAAATATAATATATTATTAAATAAATATAATATATTATTAAATAAATAAAAATATATAATATCACAAATAAATTTTTAAATAAAAAATTAATTATATGATAAAGTATTATATTATAAATTTATAATATCTCATAATATTATAACCATATCATAAAATATCCAGAAACGGGGTTTGCCGCTTATCTTATTCAGGAGGGCCCGGGAAATTAATTACGTGGGACAATGATGGTGCTAGAGTGATGATCTAGACCAATCACGGCCGTTGGAATGTTTCAATCAAAAGATGTGGGATCCATTCAAGAGGACCAATCAATGATTCCCTTAAAATCAAAGGTTAAAGAGCGGGTAATATTGGGGGTGGGGGGGGATGGGGATCAGATCAATGTATGTACATAATATAATGCGGACCCCCCACAATTATCATTACCCCATTGTTCATGTCCATTTAAATTGCACCATTCCTTTTACTCCACTCCCCTGCCTTTCTCCTGTCTCCAGACAGCTCATCTTGTCCTCCATTTTTTCCTCCACCACAATCTCATTCTTCCTTAATTACCCCTAAGTTCCCCAATAATCTCAAGTTTAACCTCGTAATTAACTCTCTTAAATTTTTGTTTTCCTAGTTTCTTGTTCTATTTGCGATTTGGGAGTTGCTTTTCTTCTTTATTTATATATATATATATATATATTAACCTTTCGATATTCAACAATTATATTGGATTCTAATTAGTTCAGAATCAAACCGTGTCAAACCCCATAAAAAAAAATTCTTCAAATATTTGTTTTTCCATTTACAAGATTTGGAGTTGTTTGCTTTGCTTGCTACAAATGTTTGAATTAATTGGATGTAGCGAAGAAAAAAAAATTGTTAGTAATTTTTACAAGATTATTTGGATTTACTATTCAAATTTAACAGATAGTTGATAATTGATATCTAACAAATAATAGTAGTTTTTGTTTATAATTTAGGGTATGTAATCCATTTGATTAGTGACAAAAATTGATGGTTGTTTTCAAAACTTTTATTGTCTTTGATTAATAAGAAATACGTGGTATGGCTGTTGGATTATATAATGGGAATATTAATTTCATCTACTTCAATTGTTGTTGTATCTCAAACAAACCCTAATTACACGGTAGGTACATTGATAATTTTCTTGAACAAACCATTGTATACTTCGAATATATCAGTGAATTGACAAACTTCGAATATATCAGTGAATTGACAAACCCATTTTAACAAATGAAGCAAAAAGCTTTTCATGAGTAAATGAACTTAAATTTCTATGGATTGGGTACAAAGAAAGATAGAAATTTTCTAGTTGCATGAAGATATACATTGAAGGGTATAAGTCAAGGAATTAATTTAACACAGGAGAGAAGGAGCTATCGTATGCTATAATTCACAAACTTCCAATTCATTGGCAAATTTGTGAATTCATTAAATTTAAAGAGGATGGGCATTAAATTAAGTGGGTGTTAGGGCTTTATCAAAAGGGTTAAGAAAGAATAATCAAAGGAATGGGCCCTGATCAATAATTCGAGGTGGAACATCTCTTTGCATTTGCTTTTTGATTAAGGCATAGACATCTTCTCTTGACAACTTGACATAATCTGTTTTTATAACCCCCAAACCTCTCTCAACTAATTTCCCAAATTATATATATTTATGATTTTCTATTTAGCAAAAACAAATTATATCATATTATAAAATAGAATCTTAGATGGGAATACCCTATCTAATAATACACAATAAATTTAATATATACAGAGACTAAATAATTTGTATAGTAAGATCAAGTCATAACACAAGACAACCATACAAATCACATTCTTGATTATGGATTAATTGTTTAATAATTCTCCATATTGTTAACCATCGAAAATAAAAAATTAGGAAAACTTTTAATGTTGATTTAAATTAAATTTGTCCCAAAGGGAGATGTTTCGAATGTGGGCATTCTAGGTCTTACCTTAGCAAAAAATAATGTGGACATTTGGAAGATGGTTCGAAGTTGGACTTCAAAAATGGGTTCCCATTGAAATGATTACTTGGGTTTTGTAATAATGGAAAAGTTTATCATTAAAGAAGTAGAAAGGAAAAGTTACCATTTTAAGTAACAGTTTATTTTCTTCTTAAGAACCTAAAATGTCCATAAAAAGCTAAACATATAGTCTGTTCATAATTTCCTTTAGTTTCCCTGATTTTTTTCTAAACAGTAGATAAAGGGAATGTTTGATTGCCGTTAAAAATTGATTACTTCGACAAATGAGATCAGTTAGCAGTTGATGTGGCTTAATAAATAGAATTTTTTTACAATGTTAATTGGCATCTTACTTTTGCTCACCATATTAAATTTGATTGCATCTTTGTTATTATTGAAAGTAATCCATTTAAGTCAAAAATGAAAGATCTAAGAGAAATTATTTCCTTATTAACATTTTAAAAAATCAAATATCGGTAGTTAGTAAAGCCGCCGTTCCAAGAAAAGACAAAAAAAATCTGGTCGCATGAATGACTCTTTCTATTCAGCGGTGGGTTTTTCTATTACTTTTTGTCCATTTTTTTTATACATGCTACTTCATCCCTCCATTTGTGAGGGTTTGGTGCAACTTCGTCTTTTCAATAGTGAGGGTTTGTCTCTGTAATCGGGGTTTTGTATCATCGTTAACACAATGTCATTCCTCTCATGGTGGGGGTTTATTTTGATTTGTGATGTGGTGAATGAAGTTTTGCTACAACCTCTAGATTCTATAAGTGAAATAATAAGTTTTTATATCAAATCTTTTAACATTGGGGTGTTAGAGTTAGAGGGCTTCTGAATTTCCTTGGCTTTGGATAGATATCAAAAATGAATCAGCAGTCTGTTTGTAAGGGATGCTTGGGGTGCAATAATTTCAAGTTAAGATTTATTATTTGGCTACAAGCGACTATTATATCGGGTGTGCTATGATAATATAATTAACGCTTGAAAGGCAAGGGATAACTAAGTTCTCATATATATTTGTTTAGCGATTTTTTCTAATATGTTCTCTTTTTTAGCTACTTTGTATTTTATAGGACATATTTGTTGCAGCACATGACAATTATAAACTATTAGATGCCTCTTATGAGTGAGGTGAAGTTATATATATTGTACTTGTTTTATTTCTTTAACCCAATACAAGATATATGACAATTTCTTTCTCTCTCTATGAGTAGGGATTCATTTATACATAAATTTTACACATGACAGTTATACAAAATCTTAACCATTAATTTATTTACTTTTAATAGTTGAGATTTATTCATATTTATTAAAAATAATTAACTTTTTCATTTAAAACGTTGTGATAAATCTTAACTATTGAAAATGAAGAGATGAATCATTAAGATTTTGTATAAATTTGGTATATAAGATTTGTATGTAAATGAATCTCTCCTCTTTTTCTACATATAAACATATGATGTTAGTATTTATTCGCCTTACCTTCCAAAAATTAAAAGGAAAAATGACAAAAAAAAAAACACCCTAATTAACCTTTAAAAATATGATATTTTAGTCTTTTTCAACAGGTGTTTATTAAAATGACGTAGTTTTGGAATAATATTCTCTCTAATTTTTAGGAGATAAGACAGATAAGCACTATTTTCTAAACATATATATATACATAAGAGAAAAGAATTTTATACATCATTTTTCTAAATTTTTTTTAGAAAACTTGTTTAAAAACTCATTTTCTAAGTAATATTTTCAAAAACCAATTGTTGAATTAATAGTTTTATTCATATAAATCATGTATGCCAATTTTCAAATTATTTTAGTAAATCTAATCATTTTGTTGATTACAAGAAATTTAATATAATTAAATATATGTTAATAAATAGAGTTTCATTGATAAAAGATTTATAAGTATTAGATCAATACAAAAATTGACATGCATGATCTACATAAGTAGAACTTTCAATCTAACGGTTAGTTTTTAAAAAACCTAATTAAAAGATGAGATTTTAAATAAGTCCTTCAAAAAATTTTGAAAGGATGACTAACCCTACATTATTTTCTACATATATCTAGGAGGAGTGAACCACTTACATACAAATTTTATATACCACACTTATATAAAATCTCAACCATTTATCTCTCTACTTACAATAGTTGAAATTTATTAAAATGACATAGGTTGAAGCTCCCTATTGGCCTAACAACTTTTTGAGCCAAAATCTACAGATCTTCAATTAGTAGTAGTTAGTCTTCATGGTTATATACCAAACTCACTCACTCACTCATAAGTCTCCACCAATATAAGATTTAGGGTGTTATATTTATTATGATTTTTTAGATGAAAAAAAAATTATTTTTAATGAATGTTAATAAACTTTAATTATTAAAAATCGAAAGATGAATAAATGGTTAAAATTTTATGTAATTGTAATATGTAAAACTTGTTTATAAATAAATCTTTACTCATATATATATAAATAAAAATTCATTTACGTACAAGTCTTACACACAAAATTTACATAAAATTTTGATCATTTATCTCTTAACTTTATATAGTTGAGATTTATTTATATTTATTAAAAATAATTATTATTTTTATTTAAAAATAATAATAAATTTTAATTATTAATTAAAAAATAAACAATTAAAATTTTATATAAATATCTTACAAATAGATCTCACCTCTATCCTCTATATTCTATATATGGGTAGTTAATCCAAGCGTCCTTACAAACTTAAGTTACAAAACTAATAAATTGGATAAATAAAGTGTTGATGGAACATACTGACATACACGAGAGCAGCTACCAACTAAGAATTCACTATTTTACAGTTTAACCGGCCGTCGCATGGTCCTGTTGATTGGGCATTTATTATTAAATCTATTGCCAAACTCACTGGTTCTGTGTTCGAAGGCTGGTTAAGCTCTTTCAAACACTATTAGTTTAGATTATATTAAATTGTAAAATAAAAATTATTAAATAAAAAAAATCATATAATATTATATAATTTATTCTCATTTAACAATAACTATTATACAATCTAATATAGTTAAAAAATTATCTCTTTTAAAATAACTAATAGTATTTTATTCTAAGCAAAATTCTAAATTAAAAAATTATTATTATTATGGATTAAGGATAAAAAATTATTTTCACTTCGTTTTCGTTAAGAGTGATAGTTTCTTCGAATCAATTTGTGTGCACTTCAAATTAATTTTTTATAGTTTGATTTTTTTTTATCTTAATTACATAATACATAATAAGAAGTAATCATCTCTATCTCTTATCCCATCCAACGTACATGTCATGCGACTCAAAGTCAGTATTTTTTATTTTCAGCGAAAGAAGATGATTATGAGCTATTTAAGTGGTTGATTTTTATAGTTTGATAAAAAATAAACTATTTATGTCAAAATTAAAAATTATTTCTTCCTTAATCCTATCAAATTTTAATCAATAAAATAAAAATAAATTTGTTAGCAACTACACCACAAGCTATTGATTTTTAACTACATCATTCCAACTAAAGAAAGAAACCTAATTTGAGTTGTGTGAAATTAAGTAAGAAAATTATTTAACGTCGTTAAACCATAACGTTAACACCGACAACGCCGTGCACCATGCCATATAAAAACTAGGAACAGAAAGACACGTACTTGCAGACACACATACAAAAACAAAAAAAGAACAGCTTGATTAAGGCAAGAGTCCAGAGCGAAGCCTCTATTCCTTCCCAGATCGGACCAAAACTGTGAGTAATTCCCTTCATTTCTCACTTTCTCTTTTAATCTTCATCGCTCGATCTGTTCGTCTTGTCGCATGCGTGTAATGTGGCTTCAAATCTTTCATAAATCAGCATCTGACTGTTTGTATATTCAGAATTTCATTCCGGTTTTGCTTTGTTTTGGGTTTTTTGATCTGGGTTTGGATCTCTTTCTGTTCATGATTCGAAAATGTATGTGTTTTTTCGTTGTGTTTTTGGCCTGATTTTCTGTCTCTGCCTGTGTTGTGTTAAATGGAAGCAACATTAAGGAAAAAGTGTGTTGAGATTCTAAGCTAAGATGGTAGGTTTTTTTCTTTTTTGTTCTTTTTATATACTTTTTTCCCAAGCAAATCGTGGGTTAATGTTGGATTTGAATTTAGTATCTGGGTTTTGGGAAATTTGTGATTTTTTTTTTTTCTAATTTCCTAGCAGAAGCTCAATGTGCTTTTGTATGTTTGATTTTTTTCCTTTTTCATGTAATTAGATGTTTCTGTTCATGATCGTCTTGCTGTTGCATGACCATGCTGAAGGGTGAAGTTCTAGTTCTATTAATTCTCTCTCTCTCTCTCTCTCTCTCTTTTATTTCTTATGAAAACTAAGTTTTTTGGCCTTTTGACTTTCTGGTTAATGCTTTGCTTGCCATGATTGAATTGGTTAATTTAGCCTCTGTTTATAAGAATAGAATTGCCCCATTTTCTGGTAATCTTCTCTTCTTGTCCTGAAGCATGCTTCCTCTTATGCCCTTTTACTACTCTATTTGATCAAGTAAAATGATTCTGTTTTTTTCCTTTTCTTGCCTAAACAAATCAACATATCTTTTTACGCCAGCAGAACCATTATGGTTTTATTGTTGTTAATCATGCTTTTTGTTGGATGCTGATATCTCTTTTCATGGCAAGTACTTATCCATCATCTTCCAAAAATCAGTATACAGTTCATGAATGGAGCTGTCTGTGATGGGTTTGGTGGGTTTGGTGGGTTTGGTATCACTAGTACCACAATTGAGTGTTTTACAAAAAAGAAGCTGTTGATTTGTTGTACGGGCAAATTGATTTTTTGCTAAAAACAGCAAATATTTGTGTGCTTGGCTATTTAACTGACAACCAATTTCTGTAGACAGTTTTAGTTACCTTCTAAAGTGAAAAGCTATTACAATTAGCATAGCTAAAAGCTTTTTTACTCTACTATTGCTATATTCCTTGGTACAATAGTTTCTAAGGAGTCTCTATGTGATCAAAGAACATGCAGAAAATCATGAAATGGTAATAATAATGTTGTTACACATTTGAAAAATTTTATGATCCTAAACATTGCTGTGTTTGTGCGTGGCCTGGTAGCTATTATTAAGGAGCTTATATGCTGAAAGTTTTCATTCCTTCATTTGTAATTTATTGCAAATAATTACTCAACCATACTTTAACATGTTAATGTTCAGAACTAAATTTTTATGTGTCTATTGTTTTGCCTGCTGTGGCATGCTTTATTTTTTCTCTGATAATGGCCCACAGCAAAACTAGATTTCGGTTTTTGGCACATTATGTCTAGTCTGGGGAGTTGCATGGTCTCCCCACGCCCACAGTAATAATCATAGCTTTTAAGGAGATTAATGAATCTGCCTTACCTTTTCCTGCTTGATTTTTGTTTTTGGGTAATAGCATAGTTCCCTTCTATTACTAAAGTTGATTTTTGTAGATAATATAGTTTCCTTTCTTTTCTACTGCATTTTTCATCTGTACAAGTGTCTTTTGCCTTAAGCCAGCATACTGCATGGCCATGTTCTTGGAAACCCTTTTATGAACATTAGAATTTAAAAATCAGAGAAAAAACAGTTCCATAAGCATTCTAATTTTGTAGAACACCAATTTTGAAGTTCTTATGATTGATTTTCTGGCAAGAAAGCATAAGCACCACTTTGGCATTCCTAATCCTCTGGTTTAATCTCATTCCTGGAAGACATAATCAATTACTCCATTCAAATATAGAGGATTATCATTTTTGTTCCTCCTTTTCTCCTAAAAGTTAGGGAATGTGTCCTGGTAAAGCAATTTTAAATGATTGGTGTGTACTAGTTGTTTGCTTTATTTTATTTTATTTTTTAAATCTTGTATGCTTATAAAGGGTGATAGTATTTGGTCTAACCAAGGTAAAAGGTCCAGTCAGAGTATAGGGCTTAGTTGAGTACTTAGGGTCAGAGATTCTATAATAAAAACTATTTGTAACTGTAAAGTGTTTTCCTCTCCCTTGCTATCATATTTGTTGCTCATGTTGCATTCAACTTCCAAATGGTGATTGAGGAAGTCTTGTTATAACTCTGACCATGAGTTTAATTCCTTCTATTTTCTATTTTGGATAAATTCTAGGATTGGAAAAAAATTTCTAGCGATAAAATTATTTTAATGCATCAAGTATAATTGGATTATTATATTGAAGTAGCATAATTGTTGCCAATCAAACATATTGGTGATTTGGTGATGGTTTTCTTGAAATAAAAATTTAAATAGAGTTAGTAAAAGCAAAAGCAGTATTTGTTTAGGGGGAAATGGTACGTACACCTTGCGAAGTTACACACTCCGTTACACACTAACAGTTTCCGTTACTTGATCCGTTAAACACTAACGGTTTCCGTTATCTGTTACTTGATCCGTTAAACACTAACGGTTTCTGTTACTTGTGCCTAGAACAGTAGTTCATTTTTGGTGAACTGTCAGTGTGTAACGGATCAAGTAACGGAAACCGTCAGTGTGTAACAGAGTGTGTAACTTTTTAGGGCGTATGTATCATTGTCCTCTTGTTCAGGAGATCTTTTATTGCACCATAAGGACATTTAAATTGGTATGTGCAGTGCTATGGGAATAGAAGTTACAGATATTTGCATGGACAAGGAGCCAGACTCTGTAAATATTTATTCCAATGGTGTTTTGCCCAATCCTAGTAATGAAACTTTTGAAAACCATCATGATGATGTGAAAACATACGTGTATGTTAATGGGGATCCTAAGATTCAAAGTGCAGAAGAGAGCATTGAAGCAAAAGATTGTGTGGTGAAGGAATGTACCATGCAAGACCTGGTTGAAAAACCTGAACTAAGTCATGTTGATAAAAGTAAGGAGGAGGCAACCCAAGCAAACTCTAATCTTGTGATGGGCTTGCCTGATGAAAAAGTCAAACAAGAAGCCCCCAAAACAAAGGAACAAACCAAAGCAAGAGTTTCTGTGAAACATGCACCAAAAGCTGCTGCAACAAATGTTAGGACGAAACATACTGTTCCACAGCCTTTTGCTCTGGCAACTGAAAAGCGTGCTTCATGTGTTACCCGTCCTGCTGTTGCCGAAGAAGCTGATGCCACAACTGGTGTGAATAAATCATCTAATGCAAATGCTGTGAAGCATCCAAATGGTTCAAAGCAAAATCAGGTAACTATGCTTACTGCTTAGCCTAGATTCTCAAATATTTTTCATTTTGATTTACAATAGCGGATAATATGAGATTTCCCCATTTATTCTTTTCCTAACAACCAAGCATAGCTTAGATTTCATGTTTTGGGGTTACTTATACTGTCCTGTAGGACATCTAATGTCTCTTTTGAGTCATAATATTTTAATATTTGTTGTCCAGCTAAATCAGCATGCTTCTTAAACATTTTGACTTTTGGAGAATTTTCCACTTAGAACAGTGCTCCAAATGATTACAGACAGGAGTATCATTTAGTTGCAATAGCAACTCATAGTTCTTCTATACCTTTTTTCCCTGAATGAAAGCTTTTAGAAATGCAAATACAAGTTAATATTTGGTGGCATAGATAGAATTGCTTGAATTTGTGTTTTGTTTCCTCTTTGCTCTTCTTTTTCCACTTATAGATGCCAATTGAGAGTATACATGCCTTGGTGCAGCCCCGTATGATCTCAAGGAAGCCACTACAACCTAATAACAACAAGCATCCAGATGATGATGATTCTTGTTCCATCACTTCCTCGTATCCTCATGCTCCTAGGAATTTAGAGTTCAATCATTTTGCTTTTATTCTTTCTTGTTCTCTTCTTTTCATTCAGAGATGCTCTCTCTTTTGAATTGATATTATGAATTACTCCTTCACTGTGCAAAGCACTGCAGCATCTGTCCCAAATGCTAAGCCCAAGACAACTGTTGCATCAGCTCCTGTATTTAGATGTACTGAACGTGCAGAGAAAAGGAGGGAGGTATTGCCTTCTTAGTATAATTTTAGTATGAAGTTTATTTTCATTTGTCTTTTATGTGCTATCCATCTGCATATGCAAAAACTGAAATGCAAAAGCCATGTCTTCCTTCTTATTACGTTGTAGTTCTATTCAAAATTAGAGGAGAAACAACAAGCAATGGAGGCTGAGAAAAGTCAAAGTGAAGCAAGGACTAAGGTGCAGTACAATCCTGTTTACTCCTGTTTTACACACACACACACACACACACACTACCAATTTAAGAACTATTTGAGGGAGATCATGATTTTGACATCCTTGCTTCTGTCCTTATAAATTTGAAATGTCAAGGAAGAGAGAGAGGCAGCTATCAAGCAATTTAGAAAGAGTTTGATGTTTAAGGCAAACCCAATGCCAAGCTTCTACCATGAGGGACCACCACCTAAGGTTGAACTCAAAAAGGTAAGGTGCAGATTTTGCGAGGTTCTTTCTGTTCTTTGCTGCCAGATAGAATCCTAGGCCCTAGGGTGACTGGAAGCTACTAAACAGACAGATGTCAGGAGATACGAGGACACCAACTTGTGCATGTTAATATATAGTCTTTTTGTTCAACTGATAAGTTTCGTTAATTTCTATTCTTTTCATGTCAGTATAATATAAAAATATATTTATACATGTTTTAAATTGTGTATGGATGTCAGATGCCACCAACTCGTGCAAAGTCACCAAAGCTGGGCCGAAGAAAGAGCTGTAGTGATGCAGTACGTAAAACTAAAGGAGTTAAGGTTAAAGGATCTTCTCAGCTGGTTACTCGTCACAGTCTGGGTGCTGTCAAAGAAGACATTCAGACAACCAATGGTTATACAAACAAGAAGAATCTTTGGAACCAGAATGGCCATATCCCTTCCAAATTTAAGGATGAGACCGAGAAAGCCGAAGAAATGAGTGAATCAATTGTCCCCAAGGTAAATGGACACAGTAATGGAGATATTGCTTTGCAGTCTTGAGTTTCCAGTAATCTATATAATTTATAAGAGGGAAAGCGTCTTCATTCTCATGTTTTATTGTGCTTGCTCTGATGAATGTGTATTTTTCTCCCTTTAAACTTCATTGACTCACTGCTTTCTCTTTAATGTATCAAAGTGTAAATTTTCTGTAACTTATATCCACTTCCGATATATAAAGATTTAAGATGCCTTGTTTTGTTGTGAAACTCTGTTTTCTTTATTTCCCCAAGTCCTGATGAAGAAGTTGTTTGCACTTCTTTGAACAATCTGATCAATGTAAAGTAGTGCCTTCTTACATTGCAACGCACTCTTTGCCAAGCCGGAAAATGAGGCAGAGGCTTCTTATTTCCTGTATTATACTTGTTTCTATGCCATCTGGGATTGTAGGAAATTGAAGTCTAAGGCTGTTAAAAGTTTTGAATTCAATGAAGATTGAGTATGAAAGATTGGTATAGAGCTAAGAGGCATTGGGACCGTTAAGGTATGCTTTTCTAAGGGTGGAAATTGTGCTTTTCTTGGAATAGATATCCCCTTTTTTTATTTGTTTACATGGTATGGCAAGACTCATTATGAAAAATGTCTTAAAGGAAAAGAGAAAGATATGTTGATAGAGCGTTAGGCAGATAGTCTTCTTGTTCTTTAGTCATTAAACAGCAAAAGATGACTTTTGGGGCTCAACCTGCCTCGTTTCTGGAAACAATTTCTTGAGTCAAAAAGTACCATGGCTTTAGAATTTGCTTCCTTTTGATTCCCTTGAATTTTCGATGCATGACTGTCAATTTATGTGTTATTTTCCTAGGATGAACTAAATCATCCATATATTGCAATGATCATCCATACATTGCGTCAATATTATGTTCAATGCGCGTAATATCTAGTTCTTAGCTGTGAACATGAAATTTCATAGGTAGCCTTGTTTAGATTGAGATTCAAATTGAATCTCTTTTATAGCCAAAGAAATGATCAATTTTATAAACAGTGACAATTCCCTTCTCTCAAGTTCTCTTCACTTATTTCATAATTCAAATTTAAGACTTTCAATTTAAAATATTATGCTTTTACCCAAGAAAATACCTTATGAGGGGCTCCTTAACCCTTTATTTCTCTGATAAAGCTCTTTCAATCTTTCTTTCATTTTAAGCTTAGAATCCCACAATGTGACACATGCTCCCCTCATCGATGACGAAGCTTCTGCCACCTCACTCTTCCTTTATATTAAGTGGGAAACCAAAAGAGACATCCTTTAAAACACCCTTTGTTAAGGTCATCATACACCTGCCTAGTAATCCCCTCATATCCCCTCCACTTCAATTCAATTATAACACCAATCTCTTCAACCAATGATAATTTTGATATGATTGGTTCATCAAGTGGCATCAAATATGCCACGTGTATAGGTTACTGTTAATGATTAATTAGGATGATTAGTGAGGTAGACTAGATTTGTGGGATGCTAAAAGAAGATCTTCCTTTGACCTTTAGGGTTTTCCACAAAACCTCTTTTTTGGTTCAATTTCAACCCCATTTATTTTAACTAAGATTGGTTTTAATTTCCCCCACCAAATAAAGGGAAAAAAGT